CAATTATAAAATATAAATTTCATAAATTATATGAAATTTATATAATTTATTTTGGGAAAAATATAAATTATTATAATTTAACAACCCTAGTAATGATAAACACAACAGTACACGTCTATTTATTATAGACTACTGTATTAATACATAAAACACTGTTAATGAGCATAAAATCATATGAAAATAAATGCTAATTTCTAATATAGAATTTTACAAACTTTATGAAATTAAATTAAACATGTGTAAACATTTATAAAATAACCAACAAATTACATCAAAACAAAAAAATAAATATTATTTTTTATAAAAAGAGAAAAAAGTAAAACATTTCAAAATATAATAATGTCAACCAAACCTACACTGGCCTACTGGAACATCCGAGGCCTGGCTTAGCACTTAGCCCATACGTCTGGTGTTGGCCTACGCCGGGGTAGACTTTGTGGACAAACGGTACGAATCTTCGGAACGGGACGTATGGCTATCAGACAAACCTAACTTAGGGCTCGACTTCCCTAACCTTCCCTATTATATGGACGGCGACACAAAAATGAGTCAATACATGGCTATATTGAGACACGTGGCCCGCAAGCATGGACTGATGGCCAGAGATGGCAAGGAACTGGACCTTCAAGAAATGGTAGCCGAACAGATCACTGATATTAGACTGAGATTTGTTTTTATGGTGGTGTATGGTCCTACTGACCCTGATCAGGTTAAACAGGGTTACATCACGGGCACTCTGGTACCTGAATTGGATGAGCTGGTTAAGTTTATGGGTGCTAAACAGTGGTTGACTGGGAAGTTATCATACGTAGACTTTATGTCCTATGAGATACTGAACTGGCTGAGACTATTCTGACCCGAAACTATAGATAAATATGCGGTGATTGGCCAGTATTTGGCGCGGTTTGAAGCACTTCCAGCTATTAAAACCTACCAGAGATCGAGTCAATACATACAGTGGCCGGTAGTCATACCCATAGCCAAATGGTGCGTAAAATAAACATATATTTAATATATATTTATTATTTAGCAAATATTAGATGTTCACATTGTATATCATCATAAGATGAGTTTATATTATATGAATTAAACAATCGACACATAAAACTATAAATAAATATTTTAATGAAATTTTAACTGATTATAATTAATCAATAATTAAGTCTCCCATTAAATACTACAACGCTTGATCTTATATCTATGTAAATTCAATTGATAATGGTTTTATTCCTGTATATAAAAATTAAAAAATTAAAAAATTAAACAATCTGAAATTAAATTATCTCACAACCCTTCTCTGGCTTATCGGATTACCAGTGGACAAGTCCAACCTAGACAAACGTAGCTTGAATTTAGTCTAACCTTTTCTACTATCGCGCCGACGACACAAAAATAGACATTTAATTGTAATCTTAAGTGATTAAATCATGAATAAAAATAGAAAGTTATTAATATTATTATTTTAAAGTTGTTTGCACTAATTTCTGGACTAAATGTGGACTTACATTGCACCAATAACTACTTCCTTTATTAACTGCTTTTATGTTTATCATTATATGAGTACATAATGTAATAACGAATTTAATGTACTAAACTTTGTTTATTTGTCTAAATTGTAAGTACAATTTGCTATAATAAACCTTTGAAGGTCGTTCGCAAAAAAGTATATAAAGCAAGTTACAAAATTAAATAAACTAAACAGTGAAAACATAAAACTTTCTAATATAATAATTTGTAAATTATACAAGTTTAAACAATTGTTCTTGCGCTTTATTTAAGTCACAATTTGTTTAATATAATTTTTTATTCTGCAATAAAATAGTTATTTCTTCAAATCAATAATATATATAATTATTAATTAATAATAATGTCAACCAAACCTACACTGGCCTACTGGGACATCCGTGGCCTGGCTCAACCCATACGTCTGGTATTGGCCTACGCGGGGGTGGACTTTGTGGACAAACGGTACAACCCGTCGGAGCGGGCGGTATGGCTATCAGACAAACCTAACTTAGGGCTCGACTTCCCAAACATTCCCTATTATATGGACGGTGACCTAAAAATAAGTCAATCTATGGCTATATTGAAATACTTGGCCCGAAAGCATGGACTGGTGGCCAGGGATGACAGGGAACTCATAAAGCAAGAGATAGTTGCCGAGCAACTGAGCGATATTAGGATGAGATTTATTATGGGAGTTGTATTTAGTCCTAAAGATCTGGCTGATGTTAAGGACGGGTATATCACTGGTTCCCTTATTCCCCAATTGGATGAGCTGGTTAAATTTTTGGGTAATAAACAGTGGTTAACTACAAAGTTATCGTACGTAGACTTTATTGCCTATGAGATACTGGACTGGTTTAGACTGTTTACACCGGAAACTATAGCTAAGTATCCAGTGATTGGCCAGTATTTAGACCGTTTTGAGGCATTACCGACTATTAATAGCTACCAGAGCTCT